CTGACACGTTTCAAATTGGACGTCACATAGAGATAGTGTTTTTCTTTTTCTCAAATTAACTCTTCACAGTGCCTAAAGATAGATGTACTGTATAACAAATATCTGTATGTGCTTTTTGTGCATTGCAAACCAATATGAAGAGAACTTCTACAGAAATTATGAATCCCATTTACATTTTTTTAATAAATAATGCATTATTAATGAGCATGAATAAACAGTGAATGAACCATAATACATCAACATTAATCTAGATTTTAAAACACTGTACATCTATTGTTCACTAATGTTAACAAATAGTTATTAAAACAGCTTCTGGTTTGCTCCAGAATTGCAAACTTGTTTAAGGTCTATGTGGTTGTCTTTTATTACACATTTATTCATTTTCGGTCTAAGAAAAGGACTATAGCACAAGAGGAAGTGTTGAGTCCATTCTTCTTGTCATGCTCCGAGTGACCCCTGCCTTTACAATAATGTTCGTGTGAATGAAAGCACAGACTTCATCCTCAACTCTTTAACCTCTTCATGGACAAACACTCGCACACACTGCTTCACCCTTGGCCCATTTGGCAAGTTTTCCCATGACTTCCCGTGGACGCTGAGAGGCGCTGAGCGAGGAGAGGAGGAGTGTTGGGGTTTTGTTGGTCATTTGTGGTGGCTGTGAGCTCTCTTTTATTCAAACACTGGTTGTTTCATCTGCTCCTCTGTTGTGAGACAGAGGTTTCACTGTGGAGAGCAGGGAGGAGGTCTTGCCTTTTCAGTTCGCTACAAAATATGTGGCCTGTATAAACCTCCCAACCTCTCAAGCCGCGCTTTCTTTCTCTTTGTCCTTCTCCACACTTTGATTTCCTCCATAGCCCCCATTTTTCCTCAAGGTCTGCTGCTGGAATCGGTCTCTAAAAATGAACACTACTTTCCCCTCAAAAGTTTTGCTACTTCAAGTATTTCCATATAGGATTTTTTTTCTTCTTTGTTAAAATCTGCTGCTGGCATAATGAATTTACCCTTTTTTAAGGGGTTGCAAACTGTGTATATAGGTTGAATTTAAACAAACAATTAAAATTTGGTTGTGTTTAACTTAATTTTTTTAAATTCAGCTCATATAAATTGCAACCACTTACCTTAAAAAAATGAGTCAATCCAACAAAACTTTTTTTTCAGTGTAGTTCATGCAAAATTGTTGTTCGCATGTCTTGTTGTTTTTCTTTTGAAAACAGATAAGACGTTTTTATTGATTTGTTTTTGGAGGATGTCCAGGTGCAATCACATGATCGTAAGTTGGGCCTGATCACGTGGTTTTGATCACTTGATCGGAATTTGATGTTACCTCCCGATCAGATCACCAGGCTAATACCTGACTTTACACAGAAATAGCAACACGTTTGGCATGACATCACTTGGTTGCAGTGACACTATTGGTTAAATGCCAGCAAAGTAGAACATGGAAGCAGCTTGAAGCGGAAAGCATGTCTGCAGTCTGGAGGTTTTATGAAGTTGATGACGACAACATTGCCATAGAAAACTGTGAGATATGTGAACTTGGGATATTTGAAGTTGAGGTGCTGTTTGTTTTTATAGTAGATTTTTATTTATTTATTTATATATTTACTGTTGCGCTAAAGTCCAGAAGTGAAGAATTGATGTTATTTATTACTTAATTGTTCAAGCTATTTCACAGAAGTGCTCTGTTTGTTAACTGAGTTGTTGAATTGTAAATAAGGTGAATTAAACTAAAAATAAGGAACATCCTGGATCTGTTTCTTCACTATTCTTTATTCTTTTTTTTATGTATTAAAAGTATCAGATCGGTAGACACTCAAAATCAAATGACTGCAGAATGTAGAAAGGCAGAAAAACAGCAACCCTCTGCTCTTTATCATTGCAAATTTAATATTAGCTGCTTCAGTTCAACATCTACACGTGGATGATGAAGGTGAAACCAGGGTGGACATTTCAGCAGGACAATGATCCAAAACATAGCCATGCAAACTCTTAAATAGTTTCAGAGAATGAAAATCAAGCTGTAGAATGACCCAGCCAATCACCTCGCTCAAATCTTTCTAATAGAAAATAGACTAAAATTTGATAGACGAGACTCACAGAACCATCAAGATTTTTACATTCTGTTGAAGTCTGTGAAAAAAAAAAAACTGAGCAATGTATGTGACATCATTCTCAATATGAGAGGTGTCTTTTAGCTGCCATCACCAAAGCCTTCATTATGAATTATTAAATACATTTCAGTAGTTCAGTACTTTCTCCTTGTATTATTCCACCTTGTATTACTGTTATTATTTATTTATTTATTTTGTTATATTTTTGGGGTTTTTGGGTTTCAATCCCATGTCAACAGATCCTTTAGAATATTATTTCCAAGAAAAAAAAGGTAAGACTTTATTTTGATGGTCCCTATTGCACATTTTGTTGACTATAAGTTGTATTGCAATTACATGCCAATTACTTCTCATTTGAGTATTAGTAGACTGTCGGCTTAATATCTGCTGGTACTTTGTAAGTACTTGTCAACTTACACTAAACCTAAGCCCGATCTAACAGTCTACTTAGAATCTGTTGAGAATTACTCGGTATGTAGATGCAATGTAACTTAAATTCAACAAAATGCACTAAAGGGACCATCAAAATTAAGTGATACCAAAAGAAAAAAAAGACATGTTAAATACCCCCCTCGCCCACACACACACACACAGTATATAGTAACTAACATTTGAAGTGGATCCAAATCTCTCAGCAAAATTGTCATAAGACTGTTCAATATTCATCTATCTCTCTAGATAGATAATATACGATGCTCAGCATATATAAGTACACCCTTTTCTATTTATAGTTTTAGCCTAGGTTGTTTAGATTTACATATAATTAAGCTAAAAGTTTAATTGCTCAAAACGAGGACATAAATGGATTATAAATATGAGTATAATTAAAAAAAAAAAAAGAAAAAAAGTACAACAAAAAACATCAATAAAATATATTATTTTTGCCGTGCAAACAGCTCAAGAGTTGTTTAATGAAAAGTTATCTTATTTACCAGATAACAGCAGTGAACATCAACCAGCAAAAAAGTAATACATTTTAAAAATACAGCAAAAAAAAAAAAAGAAGTGTAACAGAATGATGGTGATGCTGTTCATCTTCATGTACAATTAACGTTCAGTGCGAATCATAAATGTAATACTTTAATTGATGCAGTGGCTGATGAAGACCAGCAGCCATGGGCAGTGATTGTTCAACAAGTGTGTGTTTTCCACTGAGAGCAGATTTAGTGAGTAAATGGTTTTCTGGTAGAGTTGGCTCGGGTCATTGTATGTGCTCTGTTCTGTCCTGTCTCAGCCTGTAGAGAGATTGTTTATCTGACTGCACCATTTGTCCTATTGAGCTGCTGTTTCCTGCCCTTAGGGGTCTTTACAAACACAAACATCACCAACACACCCACATAAAATCACACAACAGGCCACAAATAAGAGAATCTATAGCTATAGTCGAAAAACTAACAGCCTGCACACAGAACTCTGACAGTACTTTTCAGTTTAGTGAATTTACTGTTGAAGCTCTTATTTGGATGTCGGGAGATTTCTGTGTTCAGTATGCTTTCATGATTGAAAAAAGTTTTTTAAGACTCTTAAAACTTTACAACCAGGGCTGGACTTTTTTTTTAAACCATTATAAATGTTGCTGCTTTAATGCAAGTTGATTCATGTAAATCATGTCATGTAATTTCAACTTGCATTAAGTTAAACTCATTTTTATTAACTCATTATTATTATTACTTCATTATTATCATTATTAATGTTTATTTTATTTAAAACATTTTCCCAGTACTGGGTTTGGGCTGGAAGGGCATCAATAGTTGGTGGTTCATTCCTGTGGTGATCCCTGATAAATAAGGGACTAAACAGTAGGAAAATTTAATGAATTAATAATTTGAAATATTAACTTATGGTAATTAACGAAAGTACCACAACACACCTATGTAAAGGATAGTTCACCAAGCAATGAAAATGTACAATGTACTCACTGTTTACTTTACCTCAAGTGGTCAAAACTTATGACTTACTGTCTTTAGAAAAGGTTTTTTTTTTTTTTGAAGAAAGCTGAAAACCAGTAACCATCGACTTCCAAAGAGAAAACAAATACTGTGAAAGTCAATGGTTACAGGTTTCTAGCATTTTTCAAAATGACTTTTGTGTTTAACAGAAAAAAGTAAGTCAAACAGGTTTAGAATAAGTGAACGGTGAGTAAATTGTGGTAGATATTTCAGTTGTGGATTAACTAAATTTAAAAAAATTATTAATTATTTATTTAAGTCTATATGAAACGAATTATTTATATGTAAAACTTGAGAAATTTACATGGTAAATGTTGTGCTAATCCAGATTATAATATGTTAAAATGCTGTGGTAGCCTGGTCTTTACAGTATGATTACTTTTCATTCACAGATAAATTTGCTGAATTTGTACTGGAAAATGATTTTTCTGCCTGTTTGAACTAACATTACTTATTTAAAATGAGTTGAAACAACACATATTTTGAGATTTCTTTGGGGACAACTTAATTGTTTTATGTTCAATCTACTTTAATAGGTTAGGTTAACTTAATGGATTTGTTTTTCGCGCAACATGATTAAATTGTGCGCAATCCTTAATTTTTTTTTTTTTTTTTTACAGTTTATTAGCTTTTTTTCTACACAGGTTTGCAGTTATTTTACTGATTTCTATTTTATTTATTTTTTGCTTGGTCCAGTGCTACACGTTTTTAAAAACACAAACTCTGTTCCTCGATTTGTAAGGTATTGGTTTCTGTACATTATTTGATTCATTCTTAATTATGTTATTATCATTGTTATATTGTAGTTATTACATTTTGCAGGTTGAATAAAGTCTAGAAAAAAAGTCTCATGGCTGTGACTGATGTTTATTGAGTGATGCTGACGTACGGTTTGACGTCACCGCGGGGTTAATTTATATGGGGTTCAGGGGGGGGCGAGAAACAGATTAAATTAGTTAGGGGGGAAACAAAGAGCCGGAGCAGCGCATAAAGGCGGATGCTGGAGAAGAGTGAACACAGCAAACTTCAGCCAGAGTTTCAGTGAGGGAACTTTCGACACAGAAAACAAGTGAGTTCTAGCTGTTTTTACACACCAGCACTTCTCGTCGGACTATTGTTTGGCTTTCTGTTTGTTTTAACGTTACTCCCTGAACTTTTTGAAAAGTGCCATTGGAGAGTTTTACCGCGTAAAGAGCAGTTTAGATGTTTTTACTGCCACGATATTTAAAACACTGTCAGAAACTTGATTTTGATATGGTGTGAAAAGAATGTTAAAAATACTATAAATGTGTTGGCAATGCTCTTGAGTAAGTGTCGAGTTTTCTGTTATCTATCAATAAAACATAAGCGATATGGAGTGAGTGGGTTTGTTATGTGCACTAGTTTTTCGTTGAGGAGGATGAGTTAGTCAAGAGCTGTTTAACTCAGCACAAGATATTTAAAAGGTGTCAAAGTCATAATTCAAAATAACCATCAACTTTTTTTTGCGTAAAAAGCAGATTATTTCTTTCTTTTATTAGTTTGTTTTGTCATAAGGGTAATAAACAGTCCTGTTATTATAATATTTTTATCTAATGGATTTTAATAAATGTAATATTCACTGTAAATGATTGCACATAATCTACAACTATGTTTAATATGCAAAACTACTAACTAACACAGTATCACACAGTTTGGTGGATATTGTACGTTTTAGCCAGTATGCTTGTAGAAAATCTAAGATCCTAGTTTCATAGTTTGAGACATTAAAATTAACTTCCCAGTGTCCCTTGAACCTGCTGACTGTTTATAAGGTTAGTATTATAAGCTGTCTCAAAGCATGATCTGCAGGCGATTTCTTTGCTCTCACTCACTTTAAGTGTGACCAATAGCTGCTATCTTTGCAGAAAAAAAAAGTATTTACACAAAGAATGTGGTTGTCTGCACTGATTCTGAGATGCTTGCCAGTGTTTTAAATATCTTGTTCTCACTGTACTTTTGAACTGCTTTTTTCAGTTTTACTGTCATCAAGGGGTCCGGGGACCCTGAGGGGCTCAATGGGACTGCTGAGGGGAAACCTTTAGAAAAAAAGAGCAAACAAAATGAAACTAAAAAATATTGCATTTCATTTTAAAAATACAGTTTAAAAATAAAGTTTCAAATAAAAATGGGCAAAGAAATAAACATTTACATCTGAAAATGTAAAAAAATAACATGAATAATTACAATCTTAGTAATTATAAAATAAAAATCTAAAATGACAATGTAAATATACATTTATAATTATAAACATGTTATAAACATAAAAAATATAGAACAAAAATATAATTCATAAAATGCATAAATTTAAAAAATCTTAAACTGAGCAATAATATATGAAAACATATTTATAACTAATTTTCTTTCACTTTCATATTTTTTATTTATCTTTATTATTATTTATTACTTTTTTTTAAAAACTTAATTATGTTTATTCAGTATTTCAATGGGAAGTTAGAGGCAGTTGAGGGAGGGAAGTGTTTATTAGGGGTAGTGCTAACAAGAACATGGAAACATAATGATAAAATACTGTTGTAATTGATATTCCATGTAAAGAGTTAAATGAATCTATAAATGATTAGGAATCATTTTTTGCAGTATAAATTGAGTCTTTAAACAAGAAAATAAATACTTTAGATGCTCCTGAAGAACCCAAGACCCTTTATCTAAAAAAATTACTAAGAAATGTGTTTTTATTTCTGTTACATGTGTCTGTGATGGGACAACAGCTAATGCTATAAATGGAGAATCACCATAATTCAACCCTCTTGCTAAAAGTGTGTGTGTGTGTGTGTGTGTGTGTGTGTGTGTGTGTGTGTGTGTGTGTGTGTGTGTGTGTGTGTGTGTGTGTGTGTGTGTGTGTGTGTGTGTTAGGGATCATTGTGCGTTTAATGCTCTTGGCTTCATTCACTCTCTCTCTTTCCTCTTGAATGGGGTGATTAAAGTGAGTATGGTCAAAGGGTGCAGGACAGAAAGGAAGAGGGCCTCGTTTCTTCTTTTCTTCTCTTGCTTTTTCAGAGACCCTTTCACCTGACCTGCATTCTGACCTGCCCCCCCCCTCTTCACTTCTCTCTCTTTAGACACTTTCAGGGCCTTTTCATCCAAGAGTGGGAATAAGAAAGTGCAAAAAAATGCCGTTTTATTGAAGCGATTACACATTCGGAGCTGTACCACTTCACAGCACTTCAGCAAAGTTGTAAACATTCAACCTTTTGCCCTTTGCCCTGTTTTTGTTGTGAGTTTGTGAGAGACGGAGAGTGAAAGGGGCTCTTTGGGTTTAAAAAAGGTGGGTAAACCCTTTTCAAAGCAGAAACAAAACAGAAAGTTAGAGAGTGAATAATTATGGAGTTATTTGTATAAAACACTGGGAAGTTAAAACGGTAGTATTGTGTGCATTAAAGATTGTATTTCACATGACTATAGAGGATAAATGGAGTGTGTTGGTATAGAGCCATCTGCATTAGAGCTACAAGCCTTTAACTCCAATAGCTGGGTGTCAGGCTATTGTTTTCCTCAGGGGGTTTGTGTTTAGCAACCAAAGTGCACTGATTCAGTCACTGATTTTTTTGTGAGGAAAAGGGTTGTTGTTTTTTTTTTAAGCGCATGTGTGTGTGTGTGTGTGTGTGTGTGTGTGTGTGTGTGTGTGTGTGTGTGTGTGTCTCCGAACTTTCAGATTTACAGGCCTCCAGCACCATGCTGGTCACAATTTCTGTCAGAAAGCATTTGCTGTAACACTTGCCTAATGCTGTGCAGCACTGGTCTGGTGACAGTGTGTGTGTGTGTGTCATCCAGCTGCACACGCCCATCAGAAAGAATGATGGGAGAGTGTGAGTGATTTATGACTGCTCGCCTCAGACCTGTGTTTGAGTAAATCTTGAGCCGAGGTGAACTTAAACAGCTGCTCCTGGTATGAACACTGTCTCCAGACGTCTCTCTCTCTCTCTCCTCCCCCATGCTGCTCCGTCAGTCCGTCTGTCTGTCTGTCTGTCTGTCTGTCTGTCTGTCTGCGGTTTAGATGACTGATAAAGCCAGTGCTGACTTGAACTCCCTCTGCACTTAATCTACAGACTCAGTACCGGCTCAGCCTTAAGGGCCTGCTTTGCTTCAGACTTAATGGAAGCACCTCCGTTTAATGTGCTCTTTCCAGAAACACGCAGCGCTGGTAATAGAATTTAAGAGTTGCAGAAAGGAGCCTCCGAATGGAGATCTGTAATTGAAAAGGCGCGCTGATAAGCGTGAAACTGTGCCATATGTCTGACTATGAGTGAAGTGGGTCAGAGCTTTGTGTTGTTTTCTCTGCTATGGAAATGAGTTTGAAGTCCAGCTGGTTGTGCGGCGAGGGACTCGTTCACTCTCCAACATTGGGTGCTGGAACGCACTGAAAAGATGTGAGGGGAGGAGAGAGGACCTGAGGAGGGGAGAGAAGAGAAACCGTGTGTGTCCAGCGGTCCTGCATTCCTCCACGCTTGTGATAATGGAAGCCCCATGGCGTATGATGAGTGAGTAAGGCCCTCAAAGAGTGTGTGTTTCTGAGGGAGGAATGGGGCTTTTAAAGGGCTTTCTATCTTCAGAGTGTACGAGATTTGTGTGAGAGTGTGTGTGTGTGAGAGAGTGTGGACCCAGCGGGTTAGAACAACCTCGTTAGGCCGTCTAAAACACCCCCCATCACACACACACACACACACACATTGCACAAAGAAGACTGCCTGATGAGAGATTTCGGAGAAAGGTCAGAGAAAAAAGGTGAGGAGGGGGAATTTTTGGACACAGAGAGGGGGTGAAGACATTTTTGGGCCAGCAAAATGGGGGTTGGGGTGCTCGAGATTTGTGTTTTTCTGAGAGAGGTTAGTCACGCTCCGCTGAGCGGCTGACACTTAATTACTGTTTGGAGGGAGTTGCAGGATTTACTGGGTCAACAGAATATTTTATAAACGGCTTTAGAAGAGCATTTAATGTCTGAGAGTGAGAGATCGAGGGTAAAAAAATAACAGAGATAGAGAGCATTTTTATTGCTTCTGCTTATGGTGACCCATTAAGGCCTGGTGTCTGAGTGATGAGGTCCAGCATTTGGGCTGGGACAGGAAGTTACAGCCCAGAGATATTGAGAATCAGAGTACTCCACTCAAACACACTGAGCAAGAGCAACACGTGCGCCAATACAGAGTGAAACAGACAACGTGAGCTGTATGAGAACCAAATTCAGTACAAACCTTATTAATTAAGCATCTATTAACAGCAAAACAGCCAACACTATGAACACAACACACACATCTTCACATTAAATACTCTTTACCCCATAGAATGCTTAATGTAGCTTATAAGATGAAGATATAAAAAGAGAAATTTGGTGTAAAGTTGATTAAAAATGTATACTATGTAAAGAAAAGCAGATGTGCTCAGAATATTAACTCCATTCATATTAGTTGTATGCCTCTCTTAGGTAGCGGTTCTAAAGAAAATGCTTAATGTGGCTTAACTGATGAAGACAGTGGCCAAATACCATTATCCATTCATTCATTTTCCATCGGTTTAGTCCCTTTATTCATCAGTGGTCGCCACAGCAGAATGAACCACCAACTTATCCAGCATGTTTTACACAGAGCATGCCCTTCCAGCCGCAACCCAACACTGGGGAGCACCCAGACACTCTTGCATTCTCACACGTACACTACGGCTAATTTAGTTTATTTAATTCACCTATAGCGCAACCTCCCAATGGACCTGTCAATCTCAATGAAACTCCAAGTGTTTTTACAAGAGAAAAGTTAAAAGCCTACCCGTCTTTGGATGCCAACAATTTTGTTCTGTGTAGTCATGTGCAAGAATTAATGTTCCATGATTGCCAGATTCAAAACTTTGTAGTGCTAAAAACCGAGGTTCTGCCTAGCCAAGACAAGGAAAGAAGACTGAACTGTGCAAGGCCTGGGTAATCATCAACAAGCAAAACTACTGCATTCTGACAGCGAACTGCACCTGTACAGCAGGGTATGCGAACGCACATGTTTACATTTCATTCTAAGCATTCAGTGTCCGCAGTTTAATTACCATATTTAACTGTTTTTGCTGAAATCATTGCTGCAATCAAAAACCAGTAATGTGTATGATTCAGCATAGCGTGAACTTACCTGATTTAAAATGAGAACTGCATTAAAAGCAGTGTGGTGTACAGTAAAATTAAAGTTTTCTATTTTTGCACTTTTGATTTAGTCAACACAACATGTCTGCTATTGCAACCAGTCTTTTTTTGCAACCACTATGCGTGGTTGAACCCGTGTGATGTCATGTATGACGTAAGTTGGTAATTCCCCTATAGAACATTATTATTAGAAAAAAAGTTTGGCTACCATATTTCAAGGTTCAGTTCTCACTATTTTCCCAGTGATGGGTTGCAGCTGGAAGAGCATCCGCTGGGTAAAACATGTCCTGGATAAGTTGGCGGTTCATTCCGCTGCGGCATCCCCAGATTAATAAAGGGACTAAGCCGAAAAGAAAATTAATGAATGAATTCTCACTATTACCAAGCCTTAACTATAACTTTAATAAACTATTAATTTGCTTAATATTTTTGTTAAGGTAGTAGTTACGTTTAGAGATGTAGAGTCAGATCAAACGGAATAAGTGCTTAATAAGTACTAATAAACAGCCAATATGTTAATAATAAGCAGGTAAGAATCCACATACTTTATTGCAAAAATTGTTACTTTAAGGTAACAAAGTGTGTGCTGAATTTTGTCCTCCATCACAAAGCCATTTTAGAGCGTTTCAGTCGAGAGTGAAGAATGAGAAGCTTGTTTGGACCTAATAGATGCTTAATTATCCTCAAAGACTGTTCAATACTGCTTTCATCAGTCCAGCTCTGTCTGGCTACTTTGAGTCGTCTTCTACAGACCACGGCCATTCTTTCAACTGGAGATCAGCTTTTGTTACTGTTAATTGCTTTTCCTGCTAACAGAACTCTGAACCAAGAATGCTATATTATTGACTAAAAAGAGTCACTCCCAAACTGACAATGCTGCTGTGTTGTTGGTAAATGTGGGAAGCCGGCCGATATGTGAATGCGAGTTCTTTAATCTGTGTGGCTCCATATGCTTCACTCTTCTTGCCTTCATATCCACGGAGCGCTCCGGAAGAATGGCGTCCCGCAGCGATGATTCCATTCTCTTCAGACAATACGCTCCTACTATCTCACAGCACGCGGGCCAATCATTGCCATGGAGATCACAAGCGGAGGCTAAAGAGCGCACTCACGCAGCCAGAGTCACAAACACAAAACCCACATAAGCAGATCTGTGTACATGGAGAAATCCTTCTTTTAGATGATCCAGGCAAATAAATGCATGATTGAAAAGAGCTCTTTTATCAGCAGAAAGAAAACAGAGAAGTGCTTTCTCCAGTCAAATATCACTTTTTTGTATATATATTTTTTTACCTACCACCAGCCATTCTCAGCCGTTATGAACTCTGTGGGATCTTCATGTTTTTCCAGTTTTGAATGCTGACATGTTGAGAGGAGCAAAAGAGTGCCGTTTCCATACAAACATTTATTAATTTACGTTGTGTGTACACAGCTGAGGACAGGCCGAGAGAAAACACAGATGTGAGGACTGCGGAGCCGGAAAGCAGCAGGACAGAAAAGACATGTTCAAAGACACACGCCAACACTCCGAATGGATGTTAGTCAGGGCTGCAAATGTGCTTGTGCATTCGTTGCTGTCCTTTTGGATGTTTGTGTTCGATGATTCAAAAGCTAGCACAGTGGTGGTGCTTTCAGTGCCAAGAACGTCATTATCATAATTCCAAGAAAATCGCTGCGTATTTTGCCATTTCACTAGCTGTTACATCATACCCCTGTGTGATGTGTTTGTGTTTCATTTCTGTGGGCGGCTGGAGAAATTTAAGCGCTGTTGTTACATTCTAATCTGGTGGCAGAGAATCATGTAGTCCTTCAGCACTATATGACCTTTAGTGTTTGCACGAGCCAAGTCTGCGACATTTTAATGCCAGTCCATCGGATTCCATCAGCGAAGCTGTAATTAATCATTCTGAATGATCATCCCTATCGGCTTCATCCATTCATCTGTAATTGGGAAGTTGAAATATTAAAAGGGCAAAGTGTGGTCTCAGCGCAGATGGCTCCATTTCTGTCTTGCCCTTTCATAACAGTACTTATGAAGGAAATTATATCATTATCGCAAACTGCAATTTTCCTTCGCGACAACTGACTATTTCGTGTGTGTTTTTCAGAATGCGGGGCCTGTTTTCCACCCTCCTCGTGGTGCTGGTGGCCTTAATGATCGTGACATCAGAGGCTGGGAAAAACAAGAAAGGTATCAATCATGAATTATACCATCTCCATACTCTCTTCTTTCTTCTCATAGTTCATCTCTAACACATCATGTGACTTTGAAGCTTATTGACGCTGAAAATTCAGTGCTGTTATGTATGATTCTGCGATTAAATGGGAAGTGAATCCAATCATTGTGCTTTCTGTGCCATAGAGAAGAATAAGGGAGGTAAGGGTGGTGCCGACTGTGCGGAGTGGCTCTATGGCAGCTGCGTGGCCAATAACGGCGACTGTGGCCAAGGCATGAGGGAGGGAACCTGCAATGAACAGACCAGGAAAGTCAAATGCAGAGTGCCATGCAACTGGAAGAAAGAATTTGGAGGTGAGTTAAACTGTGGGTGATTAAAAATAGATATGGTAATCAGGTGGAATTTGCCTCGAGTTATATTTACAGTAAGTCATAGCCATTTTTTTTTTTTTTGAAATTTCTATATTTGGTAGTTTTGTGCCTCTGTGCATTTCTGTTTGTTCTTTGCAGTTGATAATGTCTGACATACTTTACTGTAACTCATTTCCTGCAGCTGACTGCAAGTATAAGTTTGGTAACTGGGGTGAATGTGACGCAGCCACGAGCACAAAGAGCCGCACTGGCACTCTGCAGAAGGCTCTCTTCAACGTCGAATGTCAGCAAACCGTCTCTGTGACCAAACCCTGCACCACCAAGGTCAAAAACAAACCCAAAGGTACATCCTCAACACTCAAACTCACTGAGTAGTATATAGTAATATATAATATATACAAGTATATATTAGTAATTATAAAGATTCTGTTATAAAAATGATCTTACCTTAAAACTGACAGCACAGCTGCGATGGTGTCCCTCATGTGACTGCCGTCCACTTAAAACAACTCTGAATTAAGTTACCTCAAACTCAAGAAACTAATTTTAAATTAAAGATGTTTAAAAAAAACTAAAAACATAAAATATATGAATTAAATTGTTAATCAATAGACTTTAAGTAGATTTAATATAATTTAGCAATCTACATAAATGCTATGGAATCTGTTACTATGGAAAAATCAGCTACTCATCTAGACTCATACACATCACAAAAATGGCTTAATCTGTTTGGTCATCCTAGCACAGGTTTTATCATTGGCAGAATATAACTTTGGTAGAGTAAAATATTTTAATGTGACCTTATAAACATAATCAATCCAAAGTATCAAAACTTTAACTTAAGGAATAAAAAAAAACATTGGAAAGGGGTTAAAAGTTGCCCAGTTTTGTGGGAAATCCAGACTTGGCAACCCTGAGCAAGAATTTCAGTAACTACTAAATTGGCAGATATGTGGATGGCTTAGAAAAGGGTTGTCAAAACTTGGTCCTGGATGGCCGGTGTCCTGCTTATTTTAGTTAAAACTCCATTTAAGCACATCCGAACCAGCTAATTAAACTCTTTCTAGGTATACTATCCAGAGAGGTGTGTTAAGGGAAGTTGGAGCTAAACTTGGAGGACAGACACTGGCCAGTTTGGACACCCCTGGCTTAGAAGATTAACCACAATACAGTTCATTGAGTCCAAAAAGCTAATTTTATTTCACCTATGGAGTGAAGAAAGAGACAAAGGACTAAGACAAATATTTAGTTCATGCATCCAAGTAAAATATGGCATAATTTGGGCTTTAGTGTTAGAAATAACATTAATAATGTCTAATTATGTATTACAATAATAACAACAATAGCCATAATTAAAAAAAAAAAAACATGAGTGTCACATGGCTTGACACATGAGTGAAACACGCCAAACACACATTTTATGTGATTTTTTTTCTTCACATAACAATGCTCCAATTATGCCACATTTCATGTGTGCTTCACGTGTGATTTTTAACAAGTGACTGCTCATGTGAAGGTCATGTGACACATGTATGTGGGAGTGTACTGTATAAATGTCATTTAAAATGATACTAATGATTTCAGAAATGGTTATTTTCTCATGACAATATTTACTGAATTAAATTGCATCCGCGCGCACGCATGCGACTCAACAGGTTCTATTCTGCAGCCAGTGGTTTGGTTGGGTCTGCTTTGGCTGAATGGAGACAGTAATGCCTGTAATCTGCTGTGGTTGTATAATCTTGGCCTGTTGGCTGTGGTGGGTGTCTGAGTGGGTTTCTGAAATCAATAATGAACCTCTGCTCATACATAAGAGGCAGATGTCTAAGTCAGTCCTTTCAAAGCACACGTTTTATGCTTAATGTGCTTATCCCAATGTGGATTTGAGCAATAATACTGTAGCATTATTTTACGAGAGCATATGCATTTCCTAACCAGCGTGAGACGGGGAGGTTTACTGCTGCATCTGAATAACGCGATTTTCTGTCAATCTCTCTCCGCAGGAAAGAAAGGCAAGGGGAAAGGGAACTAAAGGGAGCGAGAGATCCAGAGGAGCAGTAAACACCCCGTGATCATCCGCCATCTAAACACGGCCTTTTATATCTCCACTCTGTGTTGTTCAGCACGAGCGGGACTCGCTCTACAGCCACAAACACATAGCTTTAGAAGACTATGACAGAGTAACAGCGGAGTGTTTGACACCTTACATGACTCTTTCATGCGCGAGGGCGATCGGAGAATAAAATGCCGTTGTTTATCGTGTAGTTCAGCCACTCCTCTGCTGTTTCCCCCTCTCTCTCTTTCTCTCTACCATCTATCAGCTGTTCACACCTCAGGCCTCTCATTTGCTAAAGGACAACAATCAGTAGAACTCAATCAAACACATCTATTTTATTACTGTTTTACTTACAACATTTGGTTTTGTAAGATTTTGTAATTTACAGGATTATATTACTAGCGGGGTATAAAAGTAGCAATTGGAAAGTCACCCATTTCTTTTTTTGTATTCTAAACTATAAAACTAAGGAGTGTTGTTTGAAATAAATGATTTCTCTTTTTCTATAAAAGTTGTAGTGTATGTAAAAGTGAAAATACCCCCTTTTTTCTTTGCTTTCATATTGACTGTTACTAACAGATCTAAGGGTGAAAGAGGGTTGTTGAAATGCATGGAGAGGTGACCGTCCCCTCTTGCGCAAACATTTTTTATAAGCATTTAAGAAAAAAAAAAACCCTGAAGTTTTGTTACTGAGCTTTGTGTGTTTTATGTAGTGTTAACAAAAGGTACATGAGTGATGAAAGTTCATTATTAAAGACACTTGAGCCCTCTGAATCTCTCGTTATGCAGACCGCATATGTTTCTTCATGAATATGCAAAGAATAATCATTCCTCTGTATTCCGGGTCAGTGCGCATGAGATCTTTATTAAGCTTTATGCAATAGAAAAAGAACCACACACACACACTTATGTACACTGGCTCTTTAAGGGCAGTGGTAGACAAGTCCATTAATACAGTGTGTTCATTCCATCAGGGTAATAATCGTTGACTTTGCCCTTCAGCTGGTACAGTTATATGAGAGCTTCTCCATCTAACCCTTAACAAATGACATTTTATAAACATTCGAATAGAAATTTAAGAGACTGGGGCCTATTTATAAAATGTGTGTACACAGAGATTCTTAGAGTGTACATGCAGCGAAATCCTTCACGACGTTAGGATTTATTAAAAAGAATGTGACTTCTTTTTACTTGAACATTAGTGGTTCTCAGTGTGTTTCTGTTGGTTAGCAAAGAAAGTTTTCTGTACGTAATTAGATTACTTAATTGTTCCCTCTAGGTTAGGAAAACATTCACAGAATATTCTTTAAGTTGTTATAATAACACTGCCCTGTAACATTCTGGAAAAAACGACTACTTACTGTAAATTGTTCTCGGAGCATTCTTTTCTGAGGAAACTTTCCTTGTGGTGGAGTTGGAGTATTTGAAAATCTTAAAGGATTCACTAAAACATCCTCTCAAGTTGTTCTAAACTTTTCTTAATATCTTTTTTTTCTGTTGAACACAAAAGACGATGTTTCAAAAATGTTGAAAACGGGTAACCAATGATCCATAGAAGGAACACAATTACTTCCAACATTCTTCTAAATACATCTGTTTTTTTTTTCGTGTTTATCAGAAGAAAGAAAATCAAGCAAATAATGACAACGTTTTCAATTTTGGGTGACCTATACTTTTAACAGTTTTTGTCTCGCAACATGATCAAGTAAAAGATTTAAAATATTGACAGGCACTCTTTTATATGGTAAAGAATTTAATTAGATGGTCTTTTTAAGGTGGACTTCTGCAAAATGTATTTTAATTTATTTGCGATTTGTAGATATAGAGAAAGAGAATCATACATACACACAGTTTAGAAATGATCTTAGGTCAAAAATAAGATGGTTTGTATGTTTTATAAATAAAACATTTTATAAATCAGACCCCAGAAGACAGAGAGCATTATGGGCATAGTTATTTTGATGTCCCTGCTGAAAAAAAAACTGCTTAAACCAGCCTAAGATGGTTGGCTGGTTTTAGCTGGTTGACCAACCTGGTTTTAGAGGGGTTTTGGCCACTTCCAGGCTGACTTCCAGCCATTTCCAGCCTGGTCTTAGCTGGTCAGGCTGGAAAATGACCAGCCTGGTTTAAGCTGGACATAGCTGGTTTTGGCTGGGCTCCCTGCTCAAGCTGGTCAAGTTGGTTTTAGGTGGTCATCTCCCAGCCTGACCAGCTAAGAACAGGCTGGAAATGGCTGAAAACCAGCCTGGAAGTGGCCAAAACCCGTCCAAAACCAGCCTGGTTGGCCAGCTAAAACCAGCCAACCAGCCTAGGCTGGTTTAAGCAGTTTTTTTCAGTAGGGGTATCAGTCATGTAGCAGTGTTTCTCAACCACGATCCTGGAGAACCACCAACACTGCTGTTGCATCCTAATTATTACTTACAGTAGGACTTGTACGCCCTAAAAGTATGCACTTTTTTTGTAAAAAAAAAGGTATATTCTTTTGAGTGTAAAAACAGTTGAGTATGCAATCTTTGGGACACACATTGTTAAGAGATCGCTATGTTGCTTAGTTACTTCTCCACATTTCTTTCATATTTAGTTACCTACCTTAATGGTGAAGCAGCAGCTGGGTAATCTCCCATTCGCGGGTCTTTCATGCAGAGAAATCTCCTCAGGCCTTTGAATAATATTTATTCAGGCGTTAATGTTCAAAAACATCTTTATATTATGTCATTATTGTTGTTGCAGATTAAATAAAACACAGAAAACATGGTTTAAATATGTTCGATATGAAATAACAGTCATTCAAACATCATTACCGAAGCCTCTCTACTTGATGTTTGGTCGCACGTGTCCGCCATGTTTGTAGTTTGTTTACACTTTTTACCTGCGTTTTTAGTTCTAATCAATTTCACATCCAACGTGCAATGTATTGTGGCCAATATTTGCAGTTCGATTGGCTGTTTCTCAATATACTTTTCACAATAATTTTTTTTTTATTAGAGTTTAATATGACTATCAGCAAATAAACACTGTTATGCCTTCCTTAAGATTTTTATGGTAATGTTTACTTTCATCGTCTCATTTAGGGAAATTCCTGAGACAAATAAGTTATATCTCTGTTCTTTAATAGTAAATCTATATTAAATGCTGCGCTTCTCACCTCCTTAATACAGCCGCAATGACTTCTTGGACTTCTCAAGCGAGTTTTGTGTTCAGGTCTGCATCGGTGCGTCCTTCAGGAACTATTCACGTATCCTGCGTTCTTACGGTCTTGAGTTTTGGAACGGAATTTTGGCAGTTGATGATGACGTTAAACAAGAACACGAGGATGCAAGATTGCTGAAGAACGCATTTTGGGAAACAGACCGTATGGAGGTTTTTAACACTTCAAATATTTTCTGGAAATAGTAAACCAACCGGGTACCTTTAGCATACTCTTTTCAACATACTATGTTTTGGGAAATATTAATTCTATTTTCGAATACTATTTAAGGTGGATAGTGTGCAAATTGGGACGCAGCATGCATTTTGTGGATATCTCCTTTGTCTGTCACACCCATTACAGGTCTTACAGTCTCTGCTAATGAGCTGTTGATCTGAATCAGGTATGTTTGTTTAAGGAGACATGGAAAATATGCAGAGCTGGTGGTCCTCCAAGAATGTGGTTGAAAAACACTGATATAACCAATGCTTAGCATTGACTTTTGCTATATTAAGGTTTGCAGAGGAACAATATTTATTCAGATTTCATGACTAAATTTCTTTGTTACAAAAGGAGATTATAATTGTATTCCAGTGTGAAGTCTTCCGAGTTTGCATCACAGTCAAGGAGACTTTTACAAAAGCATCAATGACTAGGATTTGTAGTGAAAAGACTACCGCATGTTTCATTAGACCAAAGCAATTGGCAAGTTTAACATTCAGAAAAATGGAAATCTGGTTTTTAATGCTTTTGCAATGGCATACTAATCACCAAGTCTGCCTTTACCGCCCATTAAAAAGAGATTGAGGGCTGGTTTGGAGATACAGACCCTATGAATGGAAATTTGATTATGAGGTAGAAACATGAAACCAAACCAAAGACGTTAAGAGAGGCAAGTCTCTGCATCTTAAAATGATGCTAATGAATGAATAATCTCTCTTTCAGACCAGGCCTATAATAACAGACCAGAGCGCCATGACCTCTTTGGTTTAATGCTTTAAAATCTGTAATTGCTGAAACTGGCAGCTTGTTAATAATGTAACAACATGAGCCCTAAAACATCAACACATTTCTCCCTCTGTTCTAATTCCAGCCACATGCTCTTAAACACAGAACTGTGGGAGATCTTTCTTTGCTGCGTTTCCATCAATTACAAACTTTGTATTTTAATACAAAAACTAGGCAAAACTGTATTGCACCATGAGAAAACAATATAATGAAGTGAGGATCTGTTAAACAAACATGTACAAGGGGGAAATAAAACCAATTTTCCATTTCTCAAATTTTTTACACCGTCCTTTGTGCCTCATTTTAAATGCTTTAAATCTTATAAACAGGTTAAATAAATGCACTAGTCATTTCCTATTTTTTTCCAAGTATATCACAAATTATAAATGATTTTTAGCAGTTTGCATACAGACAACGATACATTTAATATTTAATCTATAAAATCACATGAAGATCACCAACTATATACAAGAGGAACACAAACATCCAGACATTAAATGCAGGGAAGAAATAATACTTTCAAGAGCATATATTCATCATATCTTAACATATTTACAGTACACACCTCTGTAAGATCAAACCCTTACAGTGACATTTCTCAGCTCAGTATTGAGTGCCTCATCCCATATAAAGTCTATAATGCCTTTCCCAATCCATTGAGAAGATTCTTTTGAATTCTGACCTATTCCAGAACCTCAAGAGGATCATGATGTCTAGCTTCTCCCAGTCTGAACCACATGCCCTGAATTCGCCTCTGTGAATGTAATGGACAACACAGCTGTTGTGGTCAGTGAGCAGCTTCAGTCTCTGTCTTCTGAAAAGTGGAAGGTGCAGGTACAGCAAATCTGAACTCACTCTGGGACGTCAATCGGGAGGCTTTTCCATAAGATATTTGAATATGTTCTCCCATCGTCCTCCTCACCTCTGTATGATGTTTGCAGAGAATCTGGGTCAGAAACAGTGGTAATACTAACCAAAAGAAACTTGATAGATACCATTTGTGCTGTACTGGGAATATAAATGAATGAAAAAATCCCTTCGTTCACCAAGTTTCTTTTGGTTTATGTTTGCTGGGAATCTCTCTATGCAGTTGATCTTCACATTTCTGTAGTGCAGAGCTCCAGCAATGATCAGATTACTGGAAAAGTCATTTGCTTTAAGACTTGGTCTGTGTTTCAGTCTCTTGTGAGAGCTCCATCATCTTCTTGCAAACAGTGATCCCTTAATACATGAAACATTGATTATGACTCACTGATTGAGCACTATGAAGCCTCACAAAGAACTGTGCAATACCTTCCAAGGCTTCAAAAAGGTATTGGGGCCAGAAGAGCCCGGACAGCCCTCTACATCATACCCTTCGTCTCCGCAGGCTGCTTCTTTCTTCAGTTCATCTGGTGCCGATGTTCTTATACTGGCACATGAGCAGGTTTTTGAAGGTCTTTTTGAAAGTGGCGTTACATAGTGCATAGCAAGCGGGGTTGATGGTGCTGTTGACGTAGCAGAGCCAGTAGCCAATGGCCCAGACTGTGTCTGGAACACACGACTGGCAGAACGTGCTAATTAAAACCATTACATTGTACGGCGTCCATGTGATGATAAAGGCCAGCAGGATGGCAAAGATTGTCTTTGTCACTTTCTTTTCTCGTGCCGCCATTTGCCGTTTCCTCTTCACCTGACTGCGTGCAATGCTGGCAAACTTGCGCGCCACAGTGCGGGGACGGCTCACAGGGATGGAGCGGCTCTCGCCGGTGCTGTTCGGTGGGACGATCTCAATTGCTGTGATGCACTCATCTCCTGCCTGTTTGGTGACTATCTTGATCTTGGACCATTTGGATTGAGGGTTGAGTTTAGGTGCAGCTGCTGGCGCAGGGGTCAGACCTGCGTCTGAAGTGACCTCACTGTTCGCTCGCTCTTTGGGCTCCTTTGGCGCTATGCTGGCTGTGCTGGAATCATTGGAGCTTTCCTTTTCCTCCGCCTGCACGCAAGAGTCTGCTTTAGCGGACACCACAGACTCTTCCAGTTTACCGTTTTTCATGGTGTCCACTGTAGAGCAGGTGTCCAGGCTGGGCTTAGGAGGAGACTGGTTATTGTTGTTCTGCTTTAGGATGTGACTCTTGAGCAGGCCGCTAGATTTCTGGGCTTTCTTCTCTTTCTTGGCTTCAGGCTTCTGTTTGGACACACGACTGCGGCTTGCCAGAGAGATGTGCACATAAAGGACTGTCATGATGACCACCGGAAGGTAGAACGCAGCGATGGCTGTGCCAAATGTGACCGCGGGGTTGGAAAGGAACTGGATGTAACATTCCCCAGGTGCTACGGTTCGGGCTCCGACGATAAACTGCCAGAACAGGATAGCGGGAGCCCACAGGATGAAGGACAGGATCCAGGCAGAGGCAATCATGAGGCCGGCCATCTTGGTGGTTCTGCGTGTGGGGTAGCTCAAGGGTTTGGTCACACAGAAGTATCGGTCGAAGCTGATGATTAGCAGGTTCATGACTGAAGCGTTGCTGACCACGTAATCCAGCGCGAGCCACAGGTCACACACCACTGGGCCAAGCGGCCAGTAACCCTTAATGATGTAGACGGTGTAAAGGTTCATGGAGAACACACCGATGATCAGATCTGCACAGGCCAGGCTGAAAAGGAAGTAGTTGTTGACCGTCTGCAGGTGTCGATTAACCTTGATTGAGAGCATGACGAGGATGTTGCCCACGACGGTGACGAAACTGAGAGATCCAGTGACCAGTGCGATGAAGACCATCTCCACCGTCTTGTACGGGCTCTCGCCGTCGCCCTCAACCGCTGCACATGAGCCATTGGCGCTGCCACTGTCACAGCTGAAGTTGGCATCACTGGACACGTTGCTCAAAGAGCCTGAAACACAAGCACACACCGTGATATAAATTACACAGCAGCAGATATGTCTGGATGCAGTCATTGAAAATAATCACAAGCTGATACGAATATAGCTGATACAAATATAGTGAGTGTATAGAAGGAAACAGCATGACATTCATTATGATGCATACTAGTGCAGAACATTCATTTCCATCATGAAATATAAACATGCAGTTGCTTTTGCAAAGGAAGAGGACTTGTTTTCTGTGTCCCAAATGGTAAGAGATAAAAACGGAGAGAAATCTTCTGGGTTCAACTGTACATTTGTTTGGTAGCATGTGAACCAGAAATCACTTCACTGTCACTGTTACCAAGAAACATCTCTCAGTTTAATGTACATTATAGTTGTTGGGTTTTTGATGGATGGATGGATGGATGGATGGATGGATGGATGGATGGATGGATGGATGGATGGATGGATGGATGGATGGATGGATGGATGGATGGATGGATGGATAGATAGATAGATAGATAGATAGATAGATAGATAGATAGATAGATAGATAGATAGATAGATAGATAGATAGATAGATAGATAGATAGATAGATAGATAGATAGATAGATAGATAGATAGATAGATAGATAGATAGATAGATAGATAGAATGAATGAATGAATGAATGAATGAATGCAGATAATTACCATTTAAATTCAGCCCATATAAATTGTTTGCAATCACTTACCTAAAAAAAATTAAGTAAATCCAATGAATCACTTTTTTACAGTGTGTACGATTGTGAAGCCTGGATTTGTTAAACATTATTTCAGACATGGAATAATGGAGCTCTGCTTAATATCTGTATGGAATAACAAAATGTATTCATTAAAATTGCAAAATCACCAATCATCCGACCACTGGCTCAAACATCTGACCAGTTACTGCACTTGTGATTGGGGTATAAACAATGACATTAAGTATATTGTATTTGTAAATATTTTTATTTTTATATATTTTTAACTATAGAGTAACACTTGAACAATTATTAATTATTGAACAATGAATTAAAGATTAACCATTCTTTAATATAAAAAATGAGATATTTTGCTACATTTATCTTGGTTAATGTGCATAAAATTGTTTGATGCAAAATGGATTTAACGTAGACAAAATAAAGAGGATCCCTTTGTTCCATGTGCTTATAGAGCCACAAAAAATAATGCAAATGATTAAATGCTATGTGCTGAATTTAGTCCCATAACAGTGAAAAAACATATTTTAATATTATCACCTGAGCAGAAAACAATGTGCTGTAATATTTGCTTGTGCTTTTAAATCACATGCACTTTAAATGAAATTAAATGCATTTTTTCTGGACCCTTTTTGATCATTTTTACTATATACTAAAACGTTTTACTTGGATCAATGAACAAATTATAAGCGGACACAAATTAACAATTTTATATTTGTTAATTAGGCGAAGCAGTGGCGCAGTAGGTAGTGCTGTCGCCTCACAGCAAGAAGGTCGCTGGTTCGAGCCTCGGCTCAGTTGGCGTTTCTGTGTGGAGTTTGCATGTTCTCCCATCGTTCGACTGGGTTTCCTCCGGGTGCTCCGGTTTCCCCCACAGTCCAAAGACGTGGTACAGGTGAATTGGGTAGGCTAAAGTGTGTGTGTGTGTGTGTGTGTGTGTGTGTGTGTGTGTGTGTGTGTGTGTGCGTGCGTGCGTGCGTGCGTGCGTGCGTGCGTGCGTGCGTGCGTGCGTGCGTGCGTGCGTGCGTGCGTGCGTGCGTGTGTGTGTGTGTGTGTTTCCCAGAGATGGGATGCGGCTGTAAGGACATCCGCTGCATAAAAACTTGCTGGATAAGTTGGCGGTTCCTTCCGCTGTGGCGACCCTAGATTAATAAAAGGAACTAATCCGACAAGAAAATGAATGAATGAACATTCTCCAATATTAATGAATGCTGTTCAACAGATCATTGTTAACTGACACCTAACTAACATGAGCTTAATTATAAACTTCTTTCTAGATAATTATAGAGTCTTTATCACGTGACAGTGTAAGAGCATTCAGACATCAGGGTGAACAGGTCTCAGGTGAAGAGAAAATTAATTATATCCTCACAATTAATAACACGCTCATGTTTTATTCAAATACACAAGCTCGACACCTTACGACATTATCCAATCAAAGAGTGCAAATCTGCCCCGTGGTTAAACTCAACTGACCCCCTGGGCTTCCTAATGATCTGAGCTACTCAGGAACAATTAAACACAATTATCAGGCGGGGAACCAAGAGAACTTCAGGAGAAACAATCAACAATCACATCAAGCCTGTGAATTCTACACACACTTATTTACTATGTGCACAAATTCCACAAAATAAATGTCCTTTATCATAGATATTAAAGTAAAGATAAGCTTCCGTGAAATATTGAGGGTAATCTGGCATATCATTTGTGAATGTAGGCTGCATTTCTAGAGGTTTCTTCATGATGTACGCTGTATGCTAACCTTACAAGAGGCTATGCAGTGCATTAAAAGGTATGTACAAAAGTACATTAAAAGACACAAATGTTTTGTTTCAGGTCATGAATTACCCATAACCTTCTTGTGAGAAGCTGCTGTAATACTGATAAAGTATTAATCCAATAGGCAATTAAAATCCTGTTTGAAGCCACTCAAGTCTGCTAAATGCTCAAAATGCATTAAAGAAGTGCGTCAGAGTAAATGCAAATATCTTTAAGCATTTCAAACACACTCTTCATTACTGCCCGTTTTAACTCCCGGAGGAGTTGTGTCAGCCATATCTTTTGAAGGTTGCCATCTTCTGGATAACCAGAGCCACTACAACCCATCACTCTGACAGAAAATGGCTAAAGACTTGCTATATAATGCACTGCTTTTAAACTGCTCTCGACGAGTTAAGACATAAAAACCCTGCCTAACTATTGGATCTGAAATCCGTTTCCCACTAGAGGAAGGACCCCAACCAGCCTCTCTCTTTATCTTTATTCTCTCCTAAATCCACCTGACTGATCATCAGCAGGCATCAAAGCGCTGCCACGCTCCGGACGGCCAGACAACACATCTCTTATTCCTTTTGAAAGCTTCTGACAAACAGACACCCGTTCTCTCCTGCCGACACAGATCACACTCCTTTAACTCTAAGGCTCTTGGTTCTTGAGAGATGAGAAGGTTGATATACAGCAGGCCGGGTCTGGTTCTGTATTTCCCCCTGGGGTGCAGGTGATTCAGAGCGGGGAGAGGATTCTTTACCCCTTATCAAATATGAATCAGCAATTACTCAACTGTGGATTCGAGCAGAGCGGAAAGATAAGTGCCAAGCCTCATTAAATATGAATCACGAATATTCATCTGATATCACCGTGGGAGAAAGCTCTCCAGGACTGTTTTTTCAGCTTTCTTGTACAATTTAACTGTGTACACAAACCTTTGACACCCTAAACTCGCAGAACAGAAGAAGAGCAGCTGTAGATGTGCGTCATGCTGCTAGAGCCAGGGTTAGTGTGTTTTAACAATAGTTTTATTTTTGTTTCTACATTTTATTTATTTTTTAGGTCAAATTATTTGTTTTGGAATATACATTTATATCATGTTAATGTAATGAAAAAAAACTTCAGTCACTGTTTACAAACCATGTGACTTTCAGCCTCAATATGCTGCTTACTATTAGTTGGGATTAGGTATTGGAAATGTGCTTTACAAGTACTAATAAACAGCCAATATCTTAATAACAGGTAGGTAATATGCCACTAGATCAAGATTTCCCAACTATGTTCCTGAGGGCATACCAACCTCTCTCTAATCAAACACAACTGAATCATCTCATCGGAAAGAGAATAAGAGACATAAGAAGAGACTTCAAAACCTGGTCAATGGGTCAGATAAGGGACATCTAAAATATGTACTGTTAGTGTGCCTCAGCGGACAGGGTTGCGAAACCCTGCACTAGATAATAGTGAGAATTGTTACTTGAACTAAAATGTGAACATAATTTTTTATATATCCATGACTTATTTAGCAGATTTGAGTTGGGAGATAATATAGTTTAATATAGTTCAGCTGTAAGAGCTATTATATTTCTCGTGTATACTGTTTTGATTCAGAGAATGTTGGATAGTTCTACTGTGTACAACATTACATACATTTTGTGACTCAATGAGCTTTGGGAGAAGTCTAATTATTCAGTAATGTCAATCACATTAAAGCATACACAGGCAGCAGCCACTGCACTGTCCCAGCACAGCATTCCTCCATCTTCACATATTCTTCTCTACTTCTCTCATTGCTTTTCCACACAGTGCCATTATAGGAGGAGTCTGAGCTTAGAATTTGCTCTGGTTTGAGCCTCCTTTTACCATTATTTCAAGACCAAATTGCCAGGCAGACTCTAAAATGTAATATCCGACAGCTAAATTTGCCTATATATTTCTGTGTAGTTTTATTTAGAGTTCTCTGGTTTCAGTTAAGTCATTTTCATCTGAGAACGCATACAAAAATTATCTTCTTGAATTACTTTGAAATTGAGAATGTGCAACATGTTATATGGCAATACATTTTCTAAGTAAAAGCCAATCATTGCATCACTGAACCAGCCATCAAAATTCCAATTGCTGAAGAAAAATACACAACCCAGGCTCATTCCAATTATGTACTCCTGTATATTTCTCGAAAGAGAGCAAAAAATATGTCCCAGGAGCTACGTTTTGTGAGAGGGGTCTGGATGCAGATCTGGTGCAGTGCAATCTTGAGCTGCATCCAATGGTTTTTAATGGGCTTACCTAACCTCACCCCTAACCCTACTCGTCACAGTGACGTCACTCACTCTATTGAGTGCATTGTGTCTGACATTGCATCGCTGAGTGATGCAACCTCAGCTTGCACCATAAAGGCTGCATCAAGATATTATTGCATTTTTTCTTTTTTTTTTTTTTGTTGCAGTTTTTGTTTTTGCGAGTCTACCAGAGGCCGTTGTGTACTCTTTTTCAGATCTTAAATTTGTGCCATTCGCGCCT